ACAAATAAATATATTTTAAAATAATTTTGAAGTTTTATAAAGTGACAGACATGTCTTACCACTCTACCCCAGTGGTTCTTAAGTGGGGTCCCAGGGTGGTTGCATCAGCAGCACCCAGAAAGTTGTTAGAAATGCAGCTTCTCAGCCCCACCCCGACTCAGCAGCTTAGGGGTAGGGGTGACTCATTGTGAGCCAACCTCCTGGGTGTCCCGCTGCAGGCTGGAGTTGCCTGGAGTGGCTGGAGACCCCCCTCTGCACGCCCTGCCCCTCCCGGCCACTCTCCCATCCTGGCTATCCCCCACCCTCCAGCCCATCCTTAATGGCGATCCCTAGAACCCCATCAGGATGCTCAGGGGCTGGGGCTGACGCACCGGAGGCTTCTGCCCTAGGGAGGAAGGTAAGGCCCCCCTTCCCATGGTTCCCAACCGCGCCTCACAGCTCTCTGGGGTTCTTTCCATCCATCCAAATTTCCAGACCTCGGCCTCAGAGGTGACAATCCAGCAGATCTAGCAGGACCCCTGGGAATCCCAGGGATCCTGCAGCATGGTTGGTGAACCAATGAAACGGATGGTTCTAGGCATGGAGTCAGAAGCCCTGGGTTCAAATTCCACATTCCCACATCACCCACAGTTGTTTCCTCATTTATAAAAGTGGGGAGCATCACCTGGCGCGGTGGCTCACGCCTGTAATCCCAGCACTTTGGGAGGCCAAGGCAGGCGGATCACAAGGACAGGAGATTGAGACTAGCCTGGCCAACATGATGACATCCTGTCTCTACTAAAAATACAAAAAAATTAGCTAGGCATGGTGGTGCACGCCTGTAGTCCCAGCAACTTGGGAAGCTGAGGCAGGAGAATCACTTAAACCCAGGAGGCGGAGGTTGCAGTGAGCCAAGATCGTACTCCAGCCTGGCGATAGAGCAAGACTCGGTCTCAAAAAAATAAATAAATAAAAATAAAAATGCAGGAAGCATCTGTCCCAGGGATTATGGGGCGGGAAGGCAGTGAGGGGTGTGTCACAGCACCTGCTCAGGGCCTGGTACTGGTGAGCAGATCCTGGATGATCACAGAGCCTCAGCCGGCTTCAAACCCCAGTCACGCTCTTGTACCTGGCACCCAGGGCTTTTCACGAGCTTCCACCATCACCCCAAGCTGGATTTTGCCTGGCCCTGAATACACCAGACTCTTAAAATGCAAAACCCTTCGTTCCTCCACACTCTCCTCTACCTGCACAGCCATTTCATGTCCCCTCTGCAGGACATCCTGAGGTCCCGTTGCCCACACAGCACCTGCCAGGTGAGCCAGCCATCTTACTCCCAGCCCATTCTCACCACAGGGGCTGGGCTATTCCAGTCCCTAAGGCAGTGCTACCTGAATGAATGAGAGAATGAATGCATGCACGAGGCAGTGATCATCTACGTATCTGGCCTTCTTCCGCCTCCTGGGTGTCTACCATGATCTCAAAGGGTGCAGCTCTACTCAGGACACCCCACCTGGCTCCAGGAAAGAGCGTTGATGTGTGTGCACGAAGCCCTCCATGGTTCACAGAGAACTTCTCACACTCATTTGAACCCCACTTCTCCGCCAAAGCCCTCCTGACCACCCCTACAGCGGAGCACTGGCCCTCCTCAAGCTCCTCAGTGTCAGTCCAGTTTCTTTGACGGCTCTGGCTCCTCTGCCACAGCTGCGACTTGCCCTTAGCTGTCACTTGTGTTTGTGCTCCTGTGCTCCAGCAGGGCCTGCAGCCTCTAACTTTTGGAATCCTGCACAGACCCATCACAAACCAGCCATCTAGGGACACCAAACCCTGCTGATCTGACTCTGGGTCACCACTTGCCAACTCTACTCCATTGTAGCCAAGGTCCTTTAACCCATTCTCTCTGGCCCTCGCTAACAAACACACACGCCAGCACACAGGCTGTCCCCAAGCCCCCAAGTGTCACTGTTAACCCTGCTCAGCTGTATGCCATTCCCTTCAGGCCCCATGCCCCAGCCCTGGTACAAAGTGTGACCACAATGCTGCCAGATTTGGCCACAACCCACCCTCTCCCATGAATCCCACATGAAGGAATACAAGCCCCAGGCCCAGTGTCACCATTTGCCATCTGAAAGTAGAACTGAACAGGCCTCATCTTTCTTCATATCACTGTCCCCAACCCCCACACCATCTCTTTCCACACTCACCCTCCCAGCTCACGAACCCAGGCCCTCCCCCACACTAATCTCCAGTGAATCAGGTCAAGTCCTTCCAGTCTATCCACTCCTGCAGTGGCACCGATGGCCTCCCAGCCTCTGACCCACATTGCTTAATGCTCTTGCACAGAATGGGTTAGGGCCCAGGCTTTGGAGTCACACAGGCCTGCATTCATTCCTGGTTCTATCACATGAAATGCCATGGAACCCTGGACAAGGTGCTTAGTTTCTTAGAGCTGCTGTTCTTCAACTGTAAGGGTAAGAACCCAGCCCTGGGGCTGCTATGAAGATCCCACAAGACCTATACGAGAAGAGCCTAGCCCACAGCGGGCAGAGGCTAAATATGTGGAAGCGGGACACGCCAGCTCTGTGCACACAGCTGGATGCGCGCTCAGAAGAGCAGCACCCATCTCAGAGCTGCAAAAGAGCCTCAGAGGAGGAAAAGTGAAGTCCAGGGGGGAAAGCAACGAGGTTCTGCCGGGGAGGTGGCAGCTCGACGGCACTCCGGGGGTGGTCACAGGCCAGCGCACCCCCTGTGCCTTGGCTGCAATGCAGGCTCTCAGGCCTCGCCCTGACCTCACGCTGGTGCGGTGGAGAAGGCCCTGACCACAGCCTAGCCAGGCCCTCTGTGCACCAGGCCCAAGCCCCATGCATCCCCTTCCTCTCCTGGCTCTGTCTCCTCTAACAGCTGAGTCAGAATCTGCATTTGAACCAGCTCCCACGCGATCTGTGTGCACATTAGTTTGGAAAGTATTATTTTCCAAAAGAGGCCGCTCCACTTCCAACCTGGTTTCTTCCAAAACCACATCAATGGTTTCGATGCCGGGGTCTTGTGTTTTGTGGATTTTCCCCAGTGCCACAGGGAAGGCAGTGCAGCCAGTGTAGTTAAGAGCACAGGCTCTGAAGTCAAACTGGTCTGTCCAAAGCCAACTGCCCACGGCCATAGGGAAAATTTCACGACATACGCACAGATAGGCCAGCAAGGCTCTCCGCCTCCTTAGCTGCTAACGTAGAGACAAGTGCTGGGACGGTGAAGGGAAGGGCCCTCTGAGGCACTGATATTTAAGTGGAAAGATCAATCTTGGGCCATGATTCGGGGGAAGGGCACTCTAGGTAGAAGAAATAGAAAATGATCAAGGAAGGTAACAGATGAGATGTCATTGCTCAACACTTCTAAGGCCATGCAGGCTGTAGAGTTTAATCAAAGTAAAAGCCACTGAGGCCGGTGTCAGGGGAGGCTTGCTCTGGTTACGGTGTGTGGAATGGGGTACCAGGGAATAATGAACAAGGAGGCTCCAAAAGCCGTCAAGGCGAGAAGGAAACATGAGCCGCGACTACGGCCGTAAGTGGTTCGCTCTGGAGGTATTGTGAGGAGACTGCTGATCAACTGGATCAGGAACTTAGTGGAACAAGGAACTAAGGACTACTTCGAGAGGGCACTGAGAGCAGGTAGGACACAGGGAGGAGGCTGGACATGGAGGCCTGGTGCTAGGCAAGAGCTCTGGGCCTAGGACCAAGTCCATACCTCACTTTAAGCTACCTGAACGCAAGGATGAGGCCTTTGCGTTCCTTCAGAGTCCTCCGCCACTGCAGAATCTGCACAGAACACATGCTCGGTGCATATCGGCAAAGCATGGAAGGACAAGGTGGGAAAGTTTCTGAAAAACGGCCATCGCAATGCTGGGAGCCATTAGGTAAGGATTCAGAAAGAATCATCTTTTCTAAGGAGCTGGGAGGAGAACCAAGATTCCAGGCTTCAGAATGGGCATGTGAGGCGGCCTTGAAGACTCTGTCAGGAAAGGAAAGCAAAAGGCAATCAAAGCAGCCCAGGCAGGACTGCTGGAGAGGCGGCAGCGAGCTGGATGCTGTTCCGAAAAGCAGGCACCTGGCGGAGCAGGGGAAGGCTCTGGAAAGCTAAGGGCGCCAGGGATGTCTCACTCCCCTCCTTCTCAGGGTGCCTGGCATGGCCACATGTGGTGGTTATGAGTGGGAATACAGCTAGAGATTTTCTCCTTTCCAACACGGATGCAAGCTTCCAGAGTGGAAGGAGAGCTGAGGAACCGCCCAGACAGAACAACCGTGTTCCTCTCTCAAGGACAGAGCCTAGCACACGATGTTGCCAGCCTAAGTGGATCCAGTCCAGTTCTCACCGCGCCCCCCACAGAGCCGTCCCTACAGAAACCTCAGAGGTAAAGAGCAAAAGCCCCAGGCCAGACCCCTTTCTTCATTATTTACTGACCACTCGACCCATGCCGTGGGTGTTGTGGGGACCCAAGCACAAACCAGACACGCTGCCCACAAAGAATCTGTGCATTGGCGGACCACACAGGGCACATGCAGACAATGACAGAGAGCGAACGGGGCCGCACCAGAGACCCCGAGACAAGCCGCGGGGTGCCCGCCTTTCTCCTTCCCTGGTGCTCCTGGGGCTGTCTGTCGAGTCTGTGGGCCTGACTGCCTCCACGAACTCAGGTAAGACACCGCGTCTTGCCCAGCGTCTGCACTCGGCAAACGCCTGTGACGGCGTCCCTGCAGGCGGGGGAAATGGCTCTGCTGTCAGCGGCCCGCGTTCAAAGCCCCGCTTGGCCCCGTCCCGGCTGTGTGACCTTGGGCGCGCCACAGCCTCTCTGGGCGTAGGTTCCGACAGGTGCCCGACTGTACAGCGGCAGCGTCGCCCTCCCCACCTCCGGGGCCTTCCGGGGTGCGGAGCGAGCGAGCAGGGCCGGAGCTGCCTGTGCGCCCGATCACTGGCGAGGCGCGGGCCTTCCTGCGCCCTAGCCGGGGCCCGGCCCCCGTCGCGCCGCTCACCCAGTTTCCGAAGCCGAACTGCTCGATGGCGTCCAGCAGCAGCTGCTCCTCGCGGCTGGTCCAGCCGCCCTCGGCCTCGGGCCCCCAGAGCGTGAAGCGCCCGCCGTCCACCAGCTGGTAGCCGTGGTAGCGGCGGTGGTGGCCGATCTCGGCGCCGGCCGAGAAGCACTCGGGGCACAGCTCGATGTCCTGGCACTCGGTGCAGCGGAAGCGCAGCGGGCTCACCTCGGCCAGGCAGTACACGCAGTACTTCTTCCCCAGCTCCGCCATCTTCCCCCGCTCGCCGCCCGCCGCCCGGCCCGCCGCCGCCGCCGCCGCCGCCGCCCCCCCAGCCGTCAGCGCCCCGCCGCCCT